AGCGAGTCAAACAAAAGTAAGAAAAAGTTCATATAATCCCCTATCATTTCATTGATTAATAACTACATAACTCCCTCAACTATAAAACCCGATATTATAGTCCTTAAAACATCTAATAATATTTAAATAAAACTCCCACCCCCGATGATTTTCTAAGGTTGTTTTGAAACCGTATCCCATCACACTGCCTTGAGTACCCGTGCTTGTATGTACACCCGTCTTTTCCTTTCTATTCTCTACTCTTTCTAGGCTTGCCCCACCAGCTAACGAGCAGCACGCGACCTCTTGTCTTTTGCTCGACCTCTCGGCACTCCTCGACGTCATTAAGCTCACGCACTGTGCTTGCGCCTCGTCATCTGGCCCCTCCCACATCCACCATAGGTGAGGGGTGAAATAGACAATCGTCGATAGTTAGGGGTTAAGTAGACTTTTTTTCCAGACTTAATTAGTCAAACTTTTTTTTTTGCGAAAGTAATTAGTTAAACTTTGAATAGTTTGATTTAGAATGATCTGGAGTTGTATTCTTTTAGGGATGGAGGGTGGAGATATGCTTACATTGTACTAACGTAAATGGCGGTAATATGATAAGAAGTTCTACTTTCTTATTGGTATTGTTTTAACATGACGGATCTTAACCAGAACTATAGCTGGTAGTGGTAATTTCTTTTTTTCCCTACAAATTAAAGCAGGTTACTGAAGAGGGGGAACATAAGAAATAGGGAAGCAACTCCTCTGAGTCCTGCAGTACTGCAGAGGGGGCTCGCCCAAGTAGTTGGCATCTTCAACAATGAATGCTCGACTAAAATATAGCCACTTGATATGTCGGCTTGCTAGAGTTATAATTACATGTTTTCGTAAGTTTTTTTAACATATCAGCACACAGCACACTTGTTGGATCAAATAGTCAAACATATCCATTTCATCACATGAAGCATAGTGCCTAGTGCGTATATAATTCAGGCAGCAATGTGCATGCAATGGGGCCATGGGGGTCCTGGAGTACAGCATGCAAGCTAGTATGGCCAAAGAAACAGCCAACAACAGGGTAGCAAAGGGCCTACTCCACCGGTCCACCCCCAAGATCCAAATCTGCATCAGTAAAAACAATGCTCACACACTCATGCAGCTGACATAGAAAACTGCAAATAAAAGCACGATTAAGCACTCTAACCTGACGTCAATTAAGATATGTGCAGTAAAGGTTCCTGAGTGGTTCGACAAAAAGGAAGAAAAAGAAGAAAGAAAGAAAAACATCGGCCTAGAGGCAATTACCGTGCATATATTTAAACTAAAAATTCGAGTACTTGTACCAAGTCGAGGATTTAGTCCACCACACAAGGAACTTGCTATGCTCATTCTGCTATGTATCTTTTTCTTTAACAAGAAGAATACTAGCAATCTCAGTTCATTTCATACTAGTCTTCATGAAAATGATCAGTGAGAATACCTTCACTGAGTGCAGTTTTCAATATTAAGCAAAACTGGTTCTGATCAAATCAACTCATAAAACTGAAAACAACCAAAGTAATACCTGGCCCCATGCCGCAATTTAGAAGATGAAAAATCTATTGAAAGTTTCATTCAGTTTTCTTAATCCAAAATGCATATCACTATAGTCGTGACCATGCATTATCGTTTTTTATAAAAACCGAAGAGGGGGGGTTGTAATTCTCTATGAAGAGAGATCGACAACCCTAAGGTGCCAAGTTGACCAAACAAGAAGCCAAAGTTGGGAGCAAGATTAAAACAGTGGGAGGCCACATGCATGATGCTGTCATGCAGACGAGAATCCAATGGCATTGCCCCTGCAGAGATACTCATCATAATGGGCCAAACTTCCAGCCTGTTTGCATCCAAGATTGCAAGGAGAGGATCTATATGTAGGCATGTCATTATTACTAATAAGAAGATCTGCACATCAGATATTTGTGACCTACTAGGTACCTCATGATGATGATGCTTAAAGTAGAACCAGAATTCTATCCAAATTAGAGACTGCACCCAGAGAGTGCATTTGATTGCATTTGATATATATGTAGATGTCTAGGTGATGAAACATTCACTAGAGCTTGCTCTTCTCCCTGACCCTTTTACAAATAGTACTAATAATCTGAAAAGTAGTATTGTACCGCATAAAATGGTTGCTCATAGATTAACATCATATCCCATGTATATCAAAACTGTAGTAGTCACTCTGTTCCAACATCTAAGGTGGTTTAGTTTTATCCTAAGTTAGAACTTCTAACTTTGACAAAGTTTTATAGAAAAATGCATCAAAAGCTAACATCAAGTCCACCATGAATAGTGCAATTATTCAGTATTTTAGTCCACCATGAATAGTGCAATTATTCAGTATTTTAGATGTTAAGATACTTTGTTTAAACTTCGTCAAAGTCAGAACAGTTTCACTTAGAACAAACTAAAACATCTTTGTGTGAGAGAGAGAGAGAGAGCGAGTGAGTGAGAGAGAGAGTAGCTTTTACTATCTAAATCATCAAACATATACAAAAAGCTCCTTGCATATGATGCTACAAATTGTACTCCCTCCATTCTGAAAATATACAGTTCTAACGTAGTACAGAGTAAAACCAAATCATTTTAAATTTGACCAAATTTATATAAAAAATAATTAATATTTATGATATCAAACATGTGTCATTAGATTCATCATGGAGTATATTTTTTTTATATCATAACTATTTAGTGTCATAAATGTTGATACTCTATCTCAAAAAAAATGTTGATACTTATTTCTATAAATTTCATAAAAATTAGATAGTTTAAATAAAGTCAGCTAACTTGCAGATAGAGGTAACCTTGTACTGGTGACTTTAGATATTCAAATGCTTAGGGGGTGTTTGTTTTCACCTCCTAAACTTTAGTCGCTATCCCATCAATGTTTGGACATGTGCATGTAGTATTAAATATATACTATTTACGAAACTAAATGCACAGATTGAGATTGTTTCGTGAGACGAATTTTTGAAGCCTAATTAGTCCACGATTTGATAATGTGGTGCTACAGTAAATATGTGCTAATGATGGATTAATTAGGCTTAATAATTTCGTCTCGCGGATTACTGACGGATTCTGTAATTTATTTTTTTATTAGTATCCGAACACCCCATACGACACCTCCATGTGACACCTTCTAAACTTTAGTCCCTCCATCCAAACACCCCTTTAATGTGCTTAAATGATTAAATACCAAAAGCGACACCAACAATAAAAGTGTAAAGTGCATAGCATTGATTGCAAATTGCGAGTGGAAAGTCTGCAGCCCTGGTGATGCATCATTGGTGGCAAATTATTTTGCTCAAAACAAGGAGCACTTAAGGATCTAGTAAAACTAAAATCAGCATTGAATGCAGCAGGCCCCCATCCAGGAAATCCACAGGAAGGAGGGGAGAAAACAAAGACAAAAGGCAGAGATGAATGAAGAAAGAAACATATGATGAACAGGTGGTGAGTTGTAATGGTCAGGAATCCAACAAAAGGTAAGCTGCTGAGCAGTCTGGGAATCCTAGCCATATCTACTTTCCCCTGTAATGGCAGGGCCAGGGGCTCAGGGAGGGGGCCATTAGACAGCGTGCTTGTGCCACTGCATGATGCCACACAGATTCATCGGCCGGCCCCCAGGTCCTGCAATGCAAGGCTGCAACTGCAAGCATCTCAGGCAGGTGTAGGCAGCCTCAGCCTCTTGGGTCTTTGCCCCCCTCACCAAACTTGGTCATATCATACCAATACCATATGATGTGAGATCTGAAGAAACATTCCATTCTGAACTGAAACATGTAAGAAACGAAATCGAAATCAGAAGAGGTTCGGACTTGAAAGATTGTACAGTAACAATGATAAAAGAGAGCCACTTGTTTCTTTCTGCGACTGCGATTCTTCTGTTCCCTATTCTCTTACAGCTGGAGTACAGCATCCAATGATCCAATTCTTCATGGGAGTCCTAGTAACTGTGGGGAACATTACGTTCATGGGAGTCCCAGTAACTGTGGGGAACACTACATTACGTAGTACAGCACCGCTGATTAATCCACAGTTACTGCTACTGACATTGACTCAGAGGACAGCTTACTGCGAGTGTGCGCTGCATCTGCAGCTGCTGGGGTCAAGCCAGCCAGTGGCATGCAGACAGCTAGGTATATGTACCCGTTGCTGTCCTGTCGCAGCGCGCAGCAGCTGCTGCTGAGTGCTGCGCTGGGCCTAGGCTGGTTGTACAAGAGCCAGAGCCAGCAGTCTGCACTGCACTGCACAGGATGCGTAGCACACAGATCCAGTGAACTGTGAACCGCAATGAATGAGGCTCCCTGGCCTGGGCTGTGGCGCTGTGAACTGCAGAGACTTGGCCATGATACACGCACACCGCACACCGGATCTTCAACTCGAGGAAAGACAAATAGGGCTCGGCAAAACACATCTCGTTCTCCTGTGAAGCGAGCAGCGCTAATACCAATCCATAAGCTGCAATTGGCCCACAACAATAAGCTGCAAAAAGTATTCCAGCCAAAATGCATGACCATTCATCGCATGTAAGGCAATTTATTCATCAGCTACACATGCATTCGAAAATCAAAACATAAAGAGTTCAAAAAAGAATCAAAACATAAAGGTTTTCACAGCAGGAAAGCAAACAAGCAGGGCAGTCCATAACTCCATATTATGATGACAAGCATGGGGCATAAAACTGTTGAGACTTAAACAGGCCAGCAAAATAATAGTAAATATTTAGTTGCACAATTGATATTAACCATTATTACAAACTGAGGTGCAGAATCAGGGATATCATCTGACTGGTCACTAATCAATCCCTTCCAAGCTGATAAACTTAACAAGAAGGAACCTTGCGGCAGGGAAAAAAAAAGATGGCAAAAAGCAAGTTCATGTGGGGGAATACAAGAACAAGAGCTCCAGAATTCGTCCATCTTCATTATTCTCTGAGTGTACAGATGGATGCATTGCTGGATATTTGAGAAACTAACACAGTGAGCTTAGAACAGATTAAAGTACATGATGGTGTCCTTCGCCATCACCAGTAAAAGCAGCTTGAAGTATATCAAAGCCCACTTTCTGGTGATATCATGGTGGACGTAGTCCAGAAGAATCTCCTTGTGGAACATGTATACTTGATGGAACACCGCGCCGACCAGAAGAGAGGTACTTATGCTGTTCTTGGAGACAAGAAGCAGAGCTGGGATCATGTAAAAGGTGACTTGGGTTAATATCTCTGATCGCCTTACTTTAGAACTCTCACTTGTCAGGGGACTACTTCTAGGTTTAGCGATAGCTGCTTCTAGCGGGCTGAACACCACAACCTTGGGTGTGGCTTCCTCACTCGATTTCTGTGCATCAGACTGTTTCATTTCACCACCTGACTTGTATGTCTCAGAGATCTGTGATATTTCCAAACATCATAAAATTCATGTACATTTAGTACAGGGTGACAGAATAAGTGACAAAGCAAGCACTAAGTCTTGCTGGTGACAAACCTGTGAATTCTGCACCTGAGATCCATTGGATGCTAGAGAGGAAAACCAACGAGGTAAAACTTGTGCTCCACTGAGGTCAGATGTAGGTTCATATCCCAGAACCTGTTGCGCATATACATGCCAGAATATACATATTAGAGCACTATAGACTTTCATTCTTCTGAATGATATGAAATATAATATAATGGAAACCAGAAGCCCAACTTCTTTCAAACCTTAAACAACTTTTAAAAAGGTCACAAGTTTCTACTACTCAGTGAAACAAATGAAGCAACCGGTTTTTTAGTTTAGAGAGCATGGATGTATACAAGGGTACACACATATAATGCAAAAGGGTACACAACAAATCAAAACATGTAAAATGGACAAAGAATAACTATTGGTTCATATCAAGAGTTGGGTACTGTGAAAATACAAGCTATCTAGAGTACTGATGTGTTCTCACTGAAGTATAAGACTTTTCAAAACTTATCACGATATCTAACATACGTGAATTGGAAACATGACAATAATATGTGTGGATTTTCCTAATAGTACCGTCATAATATCACAATTCTATTTGGTCCTACAAATATCACAGTAAATTAGTGGTTAATGTTGTGTCTTTGTTTTGGTGACCAGTGCAACTGTCTAAAACAACAAGTGTTCGTGATCACCAATCAGTGGCAGAAAGATCGGCAACTTTGCAAAGATGTGACGCTGTGAAATGATTCTAAGCCATCAATAATCTATATTCTATCTTACAACAGTATGGAAAGATAAAATCACTAAATGATTTAAGACAATAGTTACAGCATTGTTATCCTTGAGGCTAGCTACTAGTTAGACAGTTACCCCCATAAGTAGTGGTTATAACCTTTACTAATCGTCGTCTAGACGGTCTAATCGCACATCAACATACCATCTAGACACTAGACTTAAGATCTCCAACTAGCATTTATGTGAACAATGAGCTATAGTATCCTCTATTATCTCATCATCCATACTGGAAACATGAGTTTGGGCTTCTTAGCTTTCTTTTTTTAGTTCAGTTCTCCACAGACAAACAAACCTTTACAGTGAAAAGCATATATAGACCATCTCATGAGACAAAATACTTTGCAGTTTATGTGGAAGAGGTGCTAGGGGCACAGGGCACTACAAAATAATCATTTTTCTCTCTCTTTGAATTTTGGACACCGGACATCCACTAAATGAAATACCCTGTTAATAGTAAATCACATCTTATCAGGTGGCAGTCACAAGGTGAAGGCTGAATAGTGAATACTAGTACCAATGCAAACCCACAATAAAGCTTATCAAGAACTACACGGATGCAGTTCTCTCTGTCATTAATGGAGGGACACACGAGACTGGCAAATGATATTAGACCAATTCAACCAGTCTTTCTCTTCCACGGTATTAGATATATGTATAGTCTAACACATGATGTTAAGTTATACATATCTCTAATACACGGCAATGTGCTTCTCTCCTTAGTCTCGCCATGTCCATGGATTCAGATTGCAGACACTACAGAACTACATAAGCATACCACATATTTCGGTAAGTATAAACCACTATGGAGATACTAAACGAGATCACTCTCCACCTCTGATACCCAAGCAAAGCAGACGCGAATCGGACGACAGGGTTGCCTTAGGAAAGCCTACGAGCCAGATCATCAATCAGACGGCGCAGATCAGACCAAGCGCGCAGGCACACGAATCACTAAAGAAAAGCATCACAATCACCCATTCCGATATGCAAGTATGAAGTATGTAGCACAAGCAACGAGGGACCGGGTACACGAACGAACCTTGCCGAGCCCATGGGACGACGGGGCGGACGGGTAGCGGGGCAGGGACGAGAGCGCGCGAGCTCCGGAGATCGGCGGCGCTGCGTCGGCGGCGGCGCGGGTGAGGGCGGCGGCGAGGTTGAGGGCCTTGGATCGGGCCAGGATCCGCGACGCCATGGCGATGGGTTGGGGTTCCTTGTGTTGGAGAGAAGCGGTGGTGGTTGGGAAAGTGGGAAGAAACAGGAGCACGCCCACGCCGCACGCGCACGGCACAAGATCGTTCGTGGAATGGGCGGGCCTGACCCCGCTCGGCCCATCTTGGTCTGACCCGTGCTTTGGGCCACTCCGTCTACAGGGCCCAAGATGTACTCTCATTTTATTTTATATTAAAAAATATATATTATTATTATTATTATAGCTTATCTTATCTTATCTATCTATCTTATAATCTCAACCCCGTTAGAGTATTATCTTGACATGCAAGATGTCCACCTCAGCAGTTCGTAGTCACTTGCAATTAAAGTTGTATCTCTTATAATCCTAATCCTAAACCCCACTAGAGTATTATTATTTTGACATGCAAGGTGTCAACCTCAACAATCCACAATCACTTGCAATTAAAGTTATATCTCTTATAATCCTAAACCCCGCTAGAGTATTACCTTGACATACAAGGTGTCCACCTCAGCAGCCACTATCACTTGCAATTAAAGTTATATCTCTTATAATCCTAAACTCCAATAGAGTATTATCTTGACATGCAAGGTGTCCACCTCAGCAGTCCAATATCACTTGCAATTAAAGTTCATTAGCACAAGTAATTGTGATATCTACATCAGCAAGACATATAATCTATTAACATATATTTAGTTGTCTACATCGGCGTGCCACGCTATCCACTAACATTAGTTTATAATAGTTAATCTCTTCCTAAGAATTCTATGAATAATCTAATTTTTTATTATATCTCTTATAATTCTAAACCCCACTAGAGTATTATCTTGGCATGCAAGGTGTCTACCTCAGTCGTCCACTGTCACTTACAATTAAAGTTATCTCTTATCTCTTATATAATCCTAATCATAAACCCCACTGGAGTATTATCTTGACATGCAAGGTGTCCACCTCAGCAGTCTACTATCATTTGCAATTAAAGTTATATCTTTTATAATCCTAAACCCCATTAGAATATTATCTTGACATGAAAGGTGTCCACCTCAGCAGTCCAGTATCACTTGCAATTAAAGTTCATTATCACAAGTACTTGTGATATCCACGTCACCGAGACATGTCATCTACTAACATATATTTAGTTGTCCACATCAGTGTGCCACGCTATCCACTGATATTAGTTTATAATAGTTAATCCCTTCCTAAGAATTGTATGAATAGTTTAATTTTTATTCCAAATTAGTAGTTCCTGCAGCAACGCGCGGGGTATGCTTCTAGTACTTTATAAAGCAAAACCTCACTAAAAAGTCTAACTTATTCCACAACACTCAATATCATCACTTAATATAGTATATCTAATCATCCACCTCCTTCATACTTCCACCCAACCGGCTTTTCAATAGATGAAAACAAAAAAGAAAAGAAAAGAAACCATAGCAGTTACTCACGCATCCACTCAGCCGCCCTCCTTCTCTCCCCATGCCCCTACCTCTTTCACCCTCTTCCTTCTCTCCCCTTGCCCCTACCTCTTCCCCTTCTCCGCATTCACCCACTCATGCAGCTGACTCGATGCCTTCGCTGCTCCATAAATGGCTAGATGACGGGTCCCCAGCAGTGGATGAAAGGGGCCAGCAGGGGCGTCGCCCCTCCTGATCTCTACCGTAAAAAAAATAATTCCATGTATGACTACCCGATTAGTGAACTAAATCCCTAGGTCACAGGGACTCAATTGTAGATTCGTCATTCAGTGAGATTATGATTTACTAACTCATGGTGTTCCCTGTAGCAAAACCAGCGATAGAAGGATCGCACATCTTATCTGTATGAGCGTGGTGGCGACCGGCGGTTACACGGCAGGCTGCACGCCTGCACAGCTTGCGCAGTAGGCAGTTGCACGACGCGGCAGAAAGTACGCAGCCGGCTCCATAAGTTCACAACTTGCAAGATGGCAAGGTGCCAAGATCACTAGGCCAGATATGGTCATTTTAAATTTCACTTTCTAGTTGATTTATTATTTTATTTGCAGCAATAGGATCAATCGTCGAAGCTAGAAGCTAGAGAGCTGAACGTCTAAACCTGAACGTGCAACGTTGCTAATGCAGTAATAATAAATCTATGTTGCTAATGCCGACCCTGACTTTGCCTTTATTTTTTTATTTTGATGGATAATCGTGAAACATACAAAGAAGAGGGCTGATGGTTTCTGCGGCTGATAAGCCGGCTGAAACTGATTTGTTGTGAGAAAAAATATATTATTCCATGACTGATAAATCAGGTTGATAAGTTCAAGCGATCAAGGACAAAATGACTGATACAATTTAGACAAGTAGAGTACCATTCAATCATGTGAGTTCCTTTGTTTTTTCATGTAAAATACTACTTTCAAATCTAGCCATGTATGATAACAAATATATTCTCCAAAATTACAAAAGTCATTAATATTGCATAGCTTTTTTAATTTGTGTTGCTGTTTCCGGTGCTCAGCCCTCAGTGCAATTTTTTTTTCTCAAATACGCGAGGGGAATCTTCTAATCTTATATACTGGCATGTCCGTGTTTTATAAAAAAAAACATGTTTGAACCTAGTATATCTTGAATCGGAGTTAGGCAAAACCCACTAAGGAGTATCTCATTCCACAGCGCTACGTGTTATCACTTAATATAGTCCGTCTGATCATCCACCTCCTCGTCCGTACTCTCCCACCCGGCCAACTTTTCAATAGATGATGCGAAAAAAAAGAAATAAAACCATAGCAATTACTCACACATCCACTCGCCACCCTCCCCGTCTCTCCCCTAGCCCCTACCTCTGTCACCCCCTCCCTTCTCTCCCCTTGACCCTACCTCTTCCTCTTCTCCGCATCCACCCATGCCTGCAGCCGACTTGATACCTTCGCTGCTCCATAAATGGCTAGATGGTTGGTTCCCCAGCGGTGGATGGAAGGGGCCGGCAGGGGCGTCGCCCCTCTTGATCTCTACTGCAAAAAAAATTATTCGATGTATGGCTGCTCAACTAGCGAACTAAATCCCTGGGTCGTAGGGACTCAATCGTAGATTCATCGTTCATTGAGATTGTGATTTGTGAATTCATGGTGCTCCGTGTAGCAAAACTAGGGATAGAAGGATCGCACACCGCATATTCTGTATGTGCGTGGTGGCGACCGGTGGTAATGCGGCAAGCTACAGGCCTGCACAGCTTGCACAGTCGGCAGTTCCACGGCGCGGCAGGAAGTACGCAACCGGTTTCATGGCAAGTTCACAAATCGCAAGATTGCAAGGTGCCAATATCACTAGGCCAGGTATGATCATTATATTTTAAATTTGACTTTGTAGTTGATTGATTATTTTATTTGCAGCAATAGGATCGATCGTCGAAGCTAGAAGCTAGAGAGCTGAACGTCTAAACCTGAACGCGCAATGATGCTAATGCAGTAATAATGCCACGTTGCTAATGCCGACCCTGACTTTGCCTTTATTTTTTTTTATGGATGATCATGAAACATACAAAGAAGACAATTGAATCTTTTTACAAAACAACAAGAGACCAAGGACAAAATGACTTTGATACAATTTAGACACGTAGAGTACCATTCAATCATGTGAGTTCCTTTGTTTTTTTTCATGTAAAATACTACCTTCAAATCTAGCCATGTATGACAACAGATATATTCTACAAAATTACAAAAGTCATTAATATTGCATAGCTTTCTTAATTTGTGTTGCTCTTTCCGGTGCTAATCCCGCCGTGCAATTTATTTTTTCTCAAATACTCGCTGCAACGCATAGGGAATCTTCTAGTCTTATATACTGGCATGTCTGTGCGTTTAAAAAAAACATGTTTGAACCTATTATATCTTGAATTGGAGTCTAGCAAAACCCACTAGAGAGTCTATCTTATTCCACAACGCTTCATGTCATCGCTTAATATAGTCCGTGTGATCATCCACCTCCTCCTCCGTACTCCCACCCAGCCGACTTTTCAATAGATGATGGCGAAAAAAAAGAAAAAAAACCATAGCAATTACTCACGCATCCACCCCCCGCCATCCCCGTCTCTCCCCTAGCCCCTACCTCTGTCACCCTCTCCCTTCTCTCCCCTTGCCCCTACCTCTTCCCCTTCTCTGCATCCACCCACGCCTGCAACCGACTCGATGCTTTTGCTGCTCCATAAATGGCTAGATGGCTGGTTCCCTAGCAGCGGATGGAAGGGGCCAGCAGGGGCATCGCCCCTCCTGATCTCTACCGCAAAAAAATTATTCGATGTATGGTTGCCCAACTAGCGAACTAAATCCCTGGGTCGTAGGGACTCAATCGTAGATTCATCGTTCATTGAGATTGTGATTTGTAAACTCATGGTGTTCCGTGTAGCAAAACCAGGGGCAGAAGGATTGCACAACTCATATTCTATATGTGCGTGGTGGTGACCGGTGGTAACGCAGCTTGCTGCAGGCCTGCACAGCTTGCGCAGTCGGCAGTTCTACTGCGCGCGGCAGGAAGTACGCAACCAGCTTCATGGCAAGTTCACAAATCACAAGATTGTAAGGTGCCAATATCACTAGGCCTGGTATGGTCATTACATTTTAAATTTCACTTTGTAAGCAGTTCCACGGCGCGGCAGAAAGTATGCAGCCGGCTCCATAAGTTCACAACTTGCAAGATGGCAAGGTGCCAAGATCACTAGGCCAGATATGGTCATTTTAAATTTCACTTTGTAGTTGATTGATTATTTTATTTGCAGCAATAGGGTCAATCGTCGAAGCTAGAAGCTAGAGAGCTGAACGTCTAAACCTGAACGTGCAATGTTGCTAATGCAGTAATAATGCCATGTTGCTAATGCCGACCCTGACTTTGCCTTTATTTTTTTATGGATAGTCATGAAACATACAAAGAAGATAATTGAATCTTTTTACAAAACAACAAGAGACCAAGGACAAAATGACTCGGATACAATTTAGACATGTAGAGTATCATTCAATCATATGAGTTCCTTTGGTTTTTTTTCCTGTA